TCGAGCCCTGGTCCGGGAAGATCCCACGAGCCCGTGCACCACAACTACTGCGTCTGCGCTCTAGAGCCCGCGAGCCACAACTATTGAGCCCATGTGCCACAGCTACTGACGCCCGCATGCCTAGAGCCCGTGCTCTGCAACAAGAGGAGCCACCGCAATGAGAAGCCCGCGCACCACAACGAAGAGCAGCCCCCGCTCACCGCAACTAGAGGAAGCCCGCGCACAGCAGTGGAGCCCAATGCAGCCAAAATAAAATAATAAAATAAGTAGATGTGGTGTATATATATATATATATATATATATATATATATATATAGAATTTCAAGCATGAAAACTGCGTAATTGTAAATTCTTTAGCTGGGGTAACGGCATTTGACTTGTTTGCGCTGGTTGATGGGTAGCTGACAGACCGTGGGATTTGATCAGCAGCTCTTGTCCACCTCTTTTCAGGCTGGCTTTGGGATGCTTTAGTTCCTACTCCCTTTAGTTATTCTGCTTTCTCTTTTGGTACTATTATTATTTACTTTTTTGGTTTTTTAAAGGCAAACCAGACATTTTTATCTGGAAAGGAAAACTATTTTGGGCCTAGGCATTAACAGGTGCCCGCTGTCCTCAGAGAACTATGTAACAGAGCTGGAAGCAATTCTCCTGGGATGGCCGGCACGCCACTCTGTCACCCTCCTGTGAAATCTGGCGGGTGGGAGCTGACGGCATTTTTAGCTGTTGGAAAAACCTCTTGCTGCCAGGCTCGCTGTCTGTGAGATGAGCCTGTGTGAAAGGAAGAGTCCCAGCTCAGTGGTAATGATGGGGAAGCGTTTCTTGGTTTTCTTTGCTTCTTGGCTAAAGTTTCCTATTGCCAGTTTTGGAAGACGCATTGCTCTTCATCTCCCATGGGCGTCCACGAAGGGATGGGAGAATGCTGTTTAGTTTCTGCCCGTAAGCTCACGGTGTAATTTGACATGAAACTTTCATAATTAAATTATTAGTCAGAGGGCTGACCTGCTGTTGGTACGCAGAAGGAGGGAATGTGCTCTTCGGGTGCCAAATTCCGGAGCACCCCGAGGGTAGGCAGGCTGCCCTTCCCAGCAGACCGGGGCAGGAGCCCAGCAGCTGTAAACTTGCTTTCCAGGAAGTGGCTCTCGTCCTCGGGACCACTGCGGGATCGCAGGACGCGTCCCTCCAACTCCTGCCGGTCCTGGCTGGGGCGTCACCCTCTCCAGTTTGCCTCCCTGTCCAATCACTTGGGGGCCACTTGGGGCCTCGCTGGAGAAGCAGGTCCCTGGCTTGGGGTCCTGCTCCGAGTGAGGGAGATGACGACTGTCAGATGTAGCCCGTGTGGCCCTTCTGGGCGCGGCGTCCTTCTCTGCAGGCCGCTGTCTCCAGGGCTGGCATGTTGGCAGCCGGCTGAGGCCAGCATGTCGCCGTTTCAGAATGATTGGGGTGGGACTCCTCTGTATATCTTGGCCGTTTGGCTGAAAGCTGGTTTAATGGCAAAGATCACTATATTTTGTATAAGTAGCTGTGTGGAGGTGTCACGCCTTCCATACGAGCTGCGAAGACCCCTGGACCAGGGCTTCTCCATTTCTTTTGTGCCACGGATCCCCTTGTATCTGAGTGGCACCAGCCTGTGACCCTTTTTCTGAACTTCAACGCATGCCATAAAACACCAAGTTTTCCCAGGAAACCAGGTTTTCTTTACTGGCAGGTCTAATAGCCGTTGAGATTTTGAGCTGACGATAGACATACACAACTGCAGTGTGGATTGAAAGCCTCTGTTATTTCTGTCGGCGACACAGCACAGGGTTTGCTTCCTGTAGCCATTTCTGGTTTGTTGCAATGTGTCTATGGAAGGAAATGCTAACTTTCAGTTAGAGGATGGTGAGGATAGAGATTACACCTTTCCCCGTTCAAGGTCATGGACTCCTGGGCTCTGTCCCCACTGTAGTCAACGGGGGGCTCTGTAGCCCAAACTAGAGACTGCAGCAGAGGAACAGCCTTTCATCAGAGGCAGTCGGGGGGAATCTTGAGGTGGCTTGGCTGGGGGCTGCTGCTGGGATGAGCTGGGTTTGGTGCTTTGCCTGATGGAGAAGGAGCCCTGGGCGGGGGGGTCAGGTGCAGGATGTCAGGGATGAAGTGTTGGTGTTACCTGGGGAGTGTGGACTCAGATGGTCGCATTGTGCAAGCACGTAAGAGCTGGGCAACTTTCAGTCCACTGCCGTCATTGACACGGGGGTCTTTGCATCTGCATCCAGGACAGGGGCAGACGATCCCACCCTGACCCTGTCCTCCCTGGTGCCTTGTCTGCCCACCCACCTGCCCCACCCGCCTCGTCCTTCAGGGAGGAAATGTGGTCCCGCGGGCACCGAGAGGCTGGGTGCTTTGGAGGGTGGGTGGCGTGGAGCACAGAGGCTCAAGGCGCAATGATTGTCGGGGGGCTGCTGCCCCACATGCACCCCACAGAGGAATGAAAGCAAACTCCGGGCCCGGTTCTTCGGGAGTCCGGATTCCCTTTAGGGAGAGGCATGTCAAGGGTGATTGATTAGGTCTGCAAGGATCAGTGAGTGTGGGCAAGTGCGCTTCAGGTGACGTCAATCCTGGGCTCCTCCGTGGAGCAGGGTGGGGTGGGGGCCCTCCCAGGGAGGCCTACCTGTTATGGAGTCCAACCTCGTACTGCTTACTGCACACCATGCCAGTAAATTGAGAGACAAGTTTTTGGGGCAAAGAAAAGCCACTTTATTTGCAATTCCAGCGGACCGAGAAGGCGGTGCACTGGCGGTCCCAAAGACCCACCTTTCCCAATTATTAACAGAATCCTGGCCTCTTTCCTACTGAAACGGCAGGGGGTGTGGCTGGTTGTTGCACGCCCTTGGTGCCTGTATCCTTGGTTTTCACAGCTGTCCAGAGGTCAGGGCACAACGTTCCTATAAATCTCCAACAAGACAGTTGTTATTTTTCTGTTCTGCAACTTTATCTCTATATGAATGGAAAAGAGTTATACCTTTAAAGGTCAGAGCCTGGAGAATGGGCTCTCCTGCATATTTCAGGCTCTAGGCAACATTCTTTTACAAAGGGGCAGAGCCAGCATGACTCAGCACAGGCGTCAGAGCCCAGGGTTAGTGCCAAAGGAATAGATCCACTTTGGAGTCAGGTTTGCTCTTCTCTGTTACACACCCAGGTCCAGGGGGTTTTCCCTCCGCCCATGGAGGGTGTGAACTCAGACGGCAGCCGTAGGAGGTGTGATTGGTCCCGGGGCCTGGGATGGCTTCAGGAGGGGCCCCGTTTTGCATTTATGAACTTCCCTCCATGGAGTCAGTGAACCGTCTTCCCATCGTGAATGAGGAAGAAGGGAAACCAAGGGGGCCATTGGGGAAAACCTGGGAACAAACATGGTCACGCTTGGCCTCCGGAGACCCCAAGGTGAGGGGCACTGGCCTTGCCGCTTACTGTGATCTGGGCCTTTTACATACAGGGCTTCTGATGATTTGATATGAAGGAATAAAGGTATTCAAGTGTGACGAAATTTCAGTTCTTTGGGGGTTTAACCCATCAAGGTTTTCCCTCCCTCCCTCTGTCCCCCTCCCTCTCCCTTGCCCCTCTCCTTACCCTCTTCCCCTCCCCCAGTGTCTTCCCCTGGGTCTGCAGTTCAGAGTAAAGGTGGGAGTTGAGATGGGTGCAGGGTGTGAATTCAGCCTCTGACGTGATTGAGACTCCTACCACCTAGCAAATGAGAACAAATTGTTACGAAACAAACCAAGAAATCTTACATGAGAGAAAAACTGTGTTGTCCTTTTTTTTTAAAAAAAAAACGCATGGAGGGGATGATTTGTGGCTTCACTTACACAGCACATTAGTGGCGCCGAGCGCAGGGCCGGGGGGTGGGGGGCGAGTAAAGCCACAGGTCCTGTCCTCCCTGGTGGAGACAGGTGTCTGTTAGCTGCATGACCGAGACCTCCACTTGGGGCTGTGCTGAGCGTCTGCGTCGGGGCTCAGAGGGACGAGGGACAAGCCGGGACAGAAGGGGGACCTGGAAGGGGGCCAGGGCCCCCTGGGGAGTCACAGTCAGCAGAAGCCCCGGGAAGGGCCCACCCTCTCCCCAAAGGACCAGAGAGAAGGAGGTCGGCCCAAGGGAGATAAAACTGAAAAGGCAAGGAAGACCTCAGCCCCTGCACAGGGGCTGTCACCTGGGGCCTGTGCAGCCCTGATTGGTGCCCACGGGCAGGGGAGGGAGGGAGGAAGAGGTGGGAGGAGGTCTGGGGGGCCCGGGGCCGTCTGCATCCGCTGTCACTTCCCCACTCTGGGAAGGCCGGGGCCCAGGCTTCAGGGGTGGGGCCAGCCGTTGGTGGCGGGATGTCCATACCTGCTTCGCCGTGGGGCGTGCACAGCGGTGCCCAGCTTGGCTCGAAAGTGAAGTTGCTCTGTCTTCCCTCAAAGAGAGGGCATTTCCTTACTGGGCGTGTTCTCTGTTCCGACACACTCACTTCTGAGGCCTTCTCCAGGAGGTCCGCAGCCTACGGATGGGGAGGTGGCCTTGGAGGTGGGGCAGGGCCTTGGGCCCGGGGAGCTCTGCTCTCCCCGGGAACGCAGACTTGCCTGGTGCCACGTCAGCACGACTGCCATGCTGGGAGGTGGTACAGAGTGTGTCATCGAGAGGAGCAGGACCCTTGGCGGGAGCGTCGCGGGTAAACACCCCCGTGTAAGACGCAGAGATAGGAGCAAAAGCCACACCACCGCCCATTGGGGGAAAGCAGGGCCCGGCTGTCTTCCTCCGTCTCGTGGGTTCACTGCGGTGGGTGGACGGGGCTGTGCAGGACCTGCTGGCCGTGGGGACTGACCATCACCCCGTCTTTCTGCACAGCAGGGTCTCCATCCCGTTCAGCTCCAGCCACACCTACGTTTGGGGTCACGATTCCATGGTCCCTCCCAGGGGTCCCTGGTGGCATGGTCGGGGGGCACTGCCAGAGAGGAGAGGTAACTGTATCTTTCTCCCCCCTCGCCCCCAGGGCGCGAGCAGTTCCATGGCCTGGGCTCCATGTACTGCCGGGGGGCGGCCGCCGTCATCCTCACCTACGACGTGAACCATGCCCAGAGCCTCCTGGAGCTGGAGGACAGGTTCTTGGGCCTGACGGACACGGCCAGCGCCGACTGCCTCTTCGCCATCGTGGGAAACAAGGTGGACCTGAGTGAGGAGGGGCCCGGGGAGGGCGGCCAGGAAGGAGGGCAGGGCCCTGGGCTGGCTGGCGGCGGCGGCTGTGCAGCCCCCAGGCTACCGAAGCAGGTGCAGCCGGAGGACGCGATGGCCTTTTACAAAAAGATCCTCAAGTACAAGATGCTGGATGAAAAGGACGTGCCGGCCGCGGAACAGATGTGCTTCGAGACCAGCGCCAAGACCGGGCACAACGTGGATCTGCTGTTCGAAACCCTGTTCGACATGGTGGTGCCCGTGATCCTGCAGCAGAGGGCCCAGGGGCCGCCGCAGACCGTGGACATCACCAGCTCCAGGCCGCCCGCACGGACCAGATCTGGGTGCTGCGCCTGACGTGCCCAGGCCCGGCCCCCCAGGGTGCACGGACGGTCAGAGGAGAAGATCGGGGCTCACTTTGTAGAACTGCACTCGGAGGAGGAGACCGGGTGGAAATGCCAGCCAGTAATGAAGGTCCCCGTGACTGGTCCCCCACGTACATCGCTGCCCTGGGAGGTGGGGAGTGGACGAACTGTCCAGGGGAGCCGCCTGCAGAGCCGGGCTCCCAGAGACCGCCGTCCCCTGGCTGCCCCGTCTTCACACCTGGCCTCTGACGGAAGGTTTTCGGCTATCTCGGCACTTGTGTGACTTTCAAACGTTTCTGCTCACTGTGATTTATCTTCGGTCCTACCATTCGGTACTTGTACCCTGATGCATTGTAATGATTCTCGATAAATGTTAATTTATACAAAATCAGGAATCAATGTTTTTTATATCGGTTGCAGCATTGTGAGCCACACGTATTATTAAAAAGGATTTTGAGAAGAACTTTGATTTAGACTTTATTTGTGCTCCCATGGGCTCCTTGCTGGGGGTGCTTGAGTGACGGCTGTGAGCTTAAGGCACGTCTCTCTATCTTTAAAAGCTGCGTCGAATCCTACAAATTCCAGGTATTTAGGTTGGCCCATCTGCCTAGTTGTCTTGAAGACACGAGTTCCGATAATAGAAGCAAAACTAAAAGCTTTGTCTCTGCTGACCTCTGTGTGGGTCACCCGGGCAGTTGCTAAATAAGAAACCTCTTTTCCGGGGGTAGGGTGTGGCTTTGTTCTTAAGAGATGCCAAGACAGGGAAGCCGTGAAACAACAGTTTTGTTTTCTTAGAAATTTAATGGAAAACAAGTAGGTCAGGCTTGGGGCTCTCTGTTGGGAAAGGGGTGTCTCAGCCAGCTTGGCAGCTGTAATGAAACACCGCAGACCTTTATTTCTCAGTCCTGGGGGCTGGAGGCTAGATTGAGGTGCCAGCCAACTCAGTTTCTGGTGAGGGCACTCTCCTGGCTTGTAGATGGCCACCTTTCTGCATGTGTCCTCACGTACTGGAGGGAGAGAGAGCTCTTGTGACTCCTTCCTTACAAGGGCACTAATCCCATCATGGGGGCCCCACCCTCAAGGCTTCATCCAAACCTGATTACCTCCCAAAGGCCCCACCTCCAGACACCATCCCATCTGGGGGTTAGGACTTCAACATATGGATGTTGGGAGACACAAGCATTCAGTCCTTGACAGGAAGCAAAGTGGGGCAGAGGCTGGTGAACAATGTTTCATGAGCAGTAGTTTTTGGGGGGAGGTGTTCAGTGTTTCTGCGGAGAGCCCATGATCTCTGATGCTGTGGCCTCTAGCCCTGCCTCTGCTCCCGGGTGGTGCACGTCCTCTGGGTAAGCAAACGGGTCCCATCTGTGTGATGGAAACACCATCAGAGCCCCCTGTGTGTGACTGGGGAGGCCTCAATTGAGATGTCCTGTTACTGAAGCAGATCTCGAAGTCTAAAACTTCCATTTTGCAACTGTAGCCCGTTCAAAAGTGAAAACGAGTCAGTCTGATTACTTTTCATTGACGTGGCTTAGTTTCCCATTTAGTGGGTGTCAGTTGTATTTATTTTTCCACAAAGTGTGTCTTTGCTAGCGAGACATCTGGGAGACCTAGGAACTTGTCTTTGAAGACTGTGGAGGGGAAAAAGCATCCCAGGAAATTATTTCTGTCTTTGTACTTGAAGGCAGGGGTGGCTGAGTTCCCACAGCCCTTTCCGCCTGAACAGTCTGATTCTCTTGCCCATCTGCTCTGAGCACCCCCAGCTCGTGCCCTTGGATGACCCCGCGTTCTGGAGGATGGCCCAGGACGGCACCTTCTCCATCCACAGCATGTAGGCATTGCACCCTCACTGCTGCCCTAAAAGGTAGGCTTCACTCTGGGCTCTGTCCCAAGTGGACTTTGGGTGCCAGCCTGGGCTCTCGCCAGGGAGGCTGGTCCTGGGGTCTGAGACTGCTCACGGGTTTCCAGCCGTGGTCGCTCGTGGGCCCAGTTCCCGACCAGGGAACCAGGTCAGTTCTGAGGAAGGTTCAGCTGCTTTAGTGAGCTAGCCAGTGGAGAAGGAGGGGATCCTCTGCTGGATGTGGGTTCGAGCTGGGACCTCAAACATTCCTTCTTTCCCTTTGTTCAAATGCAGCTGCTCTGTGGCTGGGAGGCCACGGACAGCCGTGGGTTAACCTGCTGAGCCTGGCCCAGGAGCCATCGCTGCAGACTTTCACCTGAGTGTCCTCAGAAACCTTCTTCTCAACAGCAGCTCCTGGCCGGGCATTTCCTGGTGGCCTCGAGGTGTCCTGCGTGGGAAGTTTTGAGGGGGGTTATGTTGTAATCTGGGTGTTGGAAACCATGGTTCCCCCTTTTCACAGGCCGCTAGGCCGGTGTCTTAAGAGAAGCGCTTTGTCATTTCTGAACCCGACCTCCTGGTTGAATCAGCACTGCCTGCTGTGCCCGCAACCCTCTTCCACAGATGTCCGGCAGCTTCATCTCCTGCGAGGTCTCCCTCTGGCCGAGGTGAGCCGGCGCTCAGAGCCCGGTTGCTGTGGGCAGTGGATTGGAGATGGTTTTGTCCTCCCGAGAGAAGGCGGATGGAGCTGACTCGTGTTCCACCTCCGAGCTCTGCGCCGGCCCTGCACGCGAGGAGCACCTGCGCCGATGACCGCAGCCCACCTGAGGGGGGCGAGCCCTGGGCACTTGCTCTTGTGTCCAAGAGCAAGAGGTGGGGTGGTCTCTGCAGGAGTTTGGAATGTTTGGAGGCAGAATCTGCTCCCACTGTGGCTGATGGAACCGGGGTTGTTCTTGCCTTTGTGTAACGAGGCAGGGCCAGCCCCCCTCTGCACCCCGCCCCGCCTGCCCTCATTATGTCACACCCCCTCCCTGTTCCCTTAGCACTTGGCCCGATCTTTTCCACTTCTCGAAGCGGGACCCTTCGGCCTGCACTGCTCTCAGATACACCCATTTCCACCAGCTCCTAAAAAGTCCACTGTCCTTTCTTTTCTTCTTGCTTTACATTATTATTAACTGAGGTCCATGCTTTATTTAGATGCCCTTAATTTCACCTGATGTCTCTGTTCAGGGTCCCATCGGGACACCACATGACATTTAGTCACATCTCCTTAGGGTCCCCATGGCTCTAATAGCCTCTCAGACCACCTTGTTTTGGTGACCTTGAGGGGTATGGACAGGTGTTCTGTAGGACACCCCTTGACCGGGATTTGTCTGACGTGTTTCTCCTGATGAGGCTGGGGTGGAGGTTTGGGAGGAAGAGCACAGAGGTAAGCGCGCTCCTCAGGTCACGCTCACGGGGCGCCCGCCGTTACCGTGACTCATCACTGATCGCATGGCCCAGGTGTGTGGCTCATGGTCCCCGCGGCACAGGTGCCCTCTCCGCTCCTTCCACACTCTGCTCTCTGGAAGGACGTTGCCAGGCACAGAGCACACGCCCCTCCTTTATGGTAGAATAACTACCCACTTCGGGTGTTTTTACAAGGATTTGTCTCTTCTCCCCATTCATTTATTGATTCCATCGTTATATCCGTATGGACTCACGGACATTTATTTGTTTCTTTGGGTTATAATTCAGGATGGCGTCCTTTTTTTTTTTTTTTTTTTTTTGTGGTATGCGGGCCTCTTACTGTCGTGGCCTCTCCCGTTGTGGAGCACAGGCTCTGGACGCGCAGGCTCAGCGACCATGGCTCACGGGCCCAGCCGCTCCACGGCATGTGGGATCTTCCCGGACCGGGGCATGAACCCGTGTCCCCTGCATCGGCAGGCGGACACTCAACCACTGCGCCACCATGGAAGCCCCGGATGGCTTCCTTCTTGATCACATTATCCCAGCTTTCGTGAACGGGAAGCTGTGTCTGCTGGCTGCTGTGTCCCTTTGACCCGTTCCCATCTCTGGGGTTTATTTATTTTTAAAAATTTATTTATTTATTTACTATTTATTTTTGGTTGCATTGGGTCTTCGTTGCTGCGCGCGGGCTTTCTCTAGTTGCCACGAGCGGGGGCTACTCTCCTTTGCGGTGCGCGGGCTTCTCATTGAGGTGGCTTCTCTTGTTGTGGAGCACGCGCTCTAGGCATGCGGGCTTCAGTAGTTGTGGCTTGTGGACTCTAGGTCGCAGGCTCAGTAGTTGTGGCTCACGGGCTTAGCTGCTCCGCTGCATGTGGGATCTTCCCGGACCAGGGCTCGAACCCGTGTCCCCTGCATTGGCAGGCGGGTTCTTAACCACTGCGCCACCAGGGAAGCCCCTGGGGTTTATTTCTGAGTACTTTCTTACTTTCTGGCACCACCTGTGTTCCAGGCTCATCTTGTGTGTTTCCTGCACTTGTCCTAGAATCAGCCATTGCTCCAAGGAGCCCTGGGACCTTTCACTGGGGAAAGTGTCCGAAGCCCAGATCTGGGCTGGGTGTGCTTGTTGCCAGCGGGGCTGGGGGTGTTTCTTTAGAGCCCTCCAGCTGAGAGCAAGGAAGTACACATGTAGATACTGACGCCCATGTCCAGGGGTCTGTGCTCAGCGAAACCTGGTCTGGCCGACCTCTCTCACTCTGATGCATCATCTCCCCGCTTCTCAGGCAGTGGGAAACGCGCTCCCAGCGCCCCCATCCATTCCCCAATTGTTCAGTTGCAGCAGACAATGTGGGTCAAGGCTGCAATAGGGGGAGCACAGCCATGGGGGGGGCGGGCCCTTGGCCTTTGGCTTCAGGCCTCCCTCGTTTCCAAAGTTACCCATGTTAGCATTCTCCCCTCCCCCTCCAATTAGTTCCTAACACCTGCTGTTTCTCTTTTTTAAAAAATAAGTGATGTATGATATCACTTATTTGCGGAATCGAAAAAGAAATGACACAAGTGAACGTATTTACAAAACAGAAACATACAGAGTTAGAGAACGAACTTAAGGGTGGGGGGCAGGGATAGGGAGTTTGGGACTGACATGCACACACTGCTATATATAAAATAGACAACCAGCAAGGACCTACTGTATCACTCAGGGAGCTATGCTCAATAGTCTCTCACAACCTAAATGGGAAAAGAATTTGAAAAAGAATAAATACATGTGTATGTAGAACTGGATCACTTTGCTGTACACCTGAAACTATCACACCATGGTTAATCAACTATACTCCAATATAAAATAAAAAGTTAAAAAAAATCACTCCCTCCAAGAGGAATTCTTTGGTTCAAATATCTCTGCTCTGTATTCCTCCTCTCCCCTAACTTCTCCTTTAATAACATTCATGGCACTTTATTTTAATTACTTTTTTTATTGCCTGTATCCCCCAGTACACTAAAATTTCTACGGGCAGGCGCTAAGCGTGTCTTGTTCAGTGTGGTATTCTTACCACTCAGGACAAGTGATGTGTGCCTTCAACAAATATGTTCTTGAAAAAATACTTGTCAAAGGAATAAATAAATAAATATGCCGCATTTATAAATATAAAGAAAAGAGCGATGGCCTCTTTCTGGGAACG